AATGGACTTTTAAAAAAAAAAAAAAAAAAAAAAAGCCAAAATGCCGCCAACTATATTTTTATATATACATATAAAAATGTAAATCAAAATGTTACTTAATATGTTGTGCCACCACCCTTCCCCAGGTTTACGCCTGCGGATCCGATGCTCAATGGCGTCTTTGCACTTTTTTCCGCGAATGTTTATAAAGCAAGGTTGGGGTAAAAAGTATAATCAGGTGTGGAACATTATTTTTTTCTTCACCCCTTTCAGATCATTTTGATGTGAAAATTAATTAACCAGTAAGTTGTTCGCCCTCGGTCAGGCTGAATTACCTGCACGTTGCTTCGATAAGGAAGCGTCACGGTTGCTGCCCCCATCACCTTGCACCATGCACAGTTGGCGGCACACTGCTCCTGTAGAGAAATGCTTACCCATGCGCATGGAGCGCAGAACAGTTCGTTTGAATATGCACAAACGAATGCGCCTACCTATTATTGTACACGTGGGTATGCTTTCCACCAGCCTGCAACCCGACCGAGGATACACTTTCCCCGTTCCCGGCGGGAGCAGAGAATACCCCTTTTCGTTACGTTGAACTTAACTCCCCCGTTGGTTTATTAACTCGGAGGTGCTAACAATTGGGCATATTTCATAAAAAAAAAAATACCCCACAAGGGCGCATGAAGCTCAAGGCTGGATCACAATGGCTGCTGTAGTCTGCTTATATGTGCAAGTGGAGGAGCAAACCGATGGAAAAGAATATCGCGAAGAATAACTGCATGGAAAACAATCACGCAGTAGTAAAACAGTTGCCGCGGCGAATTAAGTACCCCCGCGAGGAGCTTACAACAGCTACCCCCATTTCTTCACACGCGCAGCCAAAGCAGGGAAACTAATTTGAGGCTAATGGTGAAACGGCATAGTTGGGGGCAGCCGGCAGGGGGGACTTAAAAAAAAAGAAACATAAAAAAATAAAAAAAAAACAGGGGGATCAATTAGGGCAGTGTATAATAATGTGGATGTTAGTGGATGATGTGGCTACTGAAAATTGGTCATCTTTCCGTAACTGTCCCTTCTGCGTCGCACCTAACCCCCCTTGGAAAAAAACTACACGAAGGTCTCCTTCAAAGTTTGAAAAAGGTTAAACTTTTTTTTCTCCGTCGATACGACGATACATTTCCCCTCCTGCAGTTGTGTCTCCGGCGTTTGGACGCGGATGTAAAATTTTATGCTACTTGTTATGATAAAAGCTGTTTAAAAAAAAAAAAAAAAAAAAAAAAAATATGACCAGGCAAGGTGATTTTGTTCACATATTTCGTGTGTGTGTGTGTGTGTAGGGGGGATACTGCCCTTTTACTAAATGGACACAGATGCTGCAAACATGGCGTTGCATGTAGGACTTACTCGTTATGTTGAAAACGATCAACTGGTTAAAAAAGGCGTAGTTGGCATTGCCCGTATTTTTGCGCAACCACAAATTTGTTGTGACAAAGAAAAGTCCCAAATTTCCCAGCAGTATAATTATCTTGAAATGGGGAAAAAAAAAAAAAAAAAAATGGGGGACGGAATACAGGTGACATTTATAAAGGAATGCCTAACATGATATACGACTTCGTTAAACAGTCTGACTCGTAATGAGCGGTGGCGGAGGGGCTCAGGGTAAAGAGAAAAAGATCCCCCATGTGAGCATATCTACACATACAAATGTTGATGGGAATATTTTGTAAGAACGAGAATCTTACCAATTTGGCAAAGGGGATAGCATGAACTGTCCTTTTGTAGTCTATTACAAGCAGCAGCTGAAGGGAGGAAACGCAATGATACATGAACTGAAATGGGTCGTTTAAGAAGGGGTCTCCAATCATTGGGGGGCAATGTAAAAGGTATAAATCGGTCACCCCCAAGTTAAGCCATGCAAGTGTGTGTAAGGGGGACACAACAGCTAAAAGAGCATGTGTTACCAACGCATACCAAACAAAACACAATGTCGTTCACTGTGATGTTGGGATGAAAAACCAAAGCAATCTGCAAAGGTGAAAATATGGGGTAGCCTTATGTCTGTGTGTGTGTAGGTGTGGGGTGAATAGTGAATACGTACAAATGGACTTGTAAAAAAAAAAAAAAAAAAAACACGGGGTGCTTACACAAATCATTATTTTTAAATAAATCAGTGGCGTCTTCACAAGGCGGAACAGGAGAGGGAGGGGGTAGAGGAACACGTGGAACTGCATCAGGGGGAGAAGCAAGGGTGTAATATTGGTAATATGAGTGATAAAAACAGTGCTGGACGTGCGTCAGGCGATTGCACACCATGTACACCGTGCCCGCACCACGTGTTGTCGTTTACATGGAAGAGGAACAAGAAGGAGTGGTAGTAGTCCCGGAACATCTGAGGAGGGGAAGGAAAGGGGAGGGGGCGCTTTTACTTTCTGGTTGGGAGGGCCTGTCGCCTACAAATATTGGCGGTCATCCAAGTGTCACGTCAACCGTGCCAAGTTAAACAAACTGCCGCCAAGGGGGGCGTAGAGCGCGCGAGAAACATTACCGTGGAAAAGAGGTACCAGTAATTTCCCAAATTGGGCAGCAGGAAGAGGACCTTGTATTCATTAATTAGTGTGTTGTTTAGGAAGGACTGCAGAAGGGGGGGGAGATAAGAAGCGTGAAGGGACGGTTTGAAGGGATGAGGAAAAGGGACAAATGTCACGGTGTGGGCATTGGTGACTGTGCATGATGGTGAATACCGTTGTGCGTAGCGTTCGTGGGAGGCTTACCCAAGACCCCGAGTTGACGTAAGCGGAAGCCAACAGGAGGAGGCCATATATACCCAGCGTCGCGATGAGCAAAGCCAAAATTTGCAGAAGGATTAGAAGCATTTGTAGGAGGGTCAGTGGCTCCTTAAGTTTGTGCTTGTACATTATCCCTTGGTGGAAGTACACCACCAGGTTATTTACGCCGGTGAGAACAAGGATGAAGTGAAATGAAGTAACGTAGAGCAGCATGGCATTTACAAAGAGAGTTGCAATAAGGTTTGGTGTAGACGTGTCTGGAGGTGAGGCTTCGCTTCTAATCCTTCTAAGGGCCAAATAAAAAGACGTGGTTATTAGGAGGAGCTTAAAATTATCAAACGAGAGGAAGCTGTTGGAAATTATCGTGAGGGGATTGTTCAGGTAGATGTTGGCTAGTAAAATGGGGTCGATTATGTTCCACTGCATATCCCGCGTGTCTTGGTTAACATAGAGGAAGTAGGCTTCCCACGTCGCCAGGCGTTGAGCTATTAGGAATAGCAGGACGCCTATGAGCAGGTCGACAGCGCATATGAGGAGGAAGAAGCGCAGTTCAGGTGTGTTTAGCGAGAGGGGGGCAACCCTGTGGGAAGCATCTCGTTTGTCGCGTTGACCACGTTCACCACTTTTATCCCCTTTGCCGCCCCCCCCTCTTAGAGGAATCCCCCGTAAGAGGACAAACTGTAGCGCCTTCAGCATCAGGGGGTTGACGCGCACAGTCAGGGAGGAGTACACATCTGCATTGAGCCGTCCCAACACATCACTTTCGTAGAGGTACTTCAAATTGTACAAGTCTGAGTTAAACGAATAATGCATGGAATCATTTTTTATTAAAAACTGTTTTAGCTTTCCATTGCGTTTGTTTTTTTGAAAATACTCTTGTAGATGTTCTGTATTGCTGATTTGTTCAGAGTGGAAATGTGTCCCCCGTCCTGGGTGGGAGGAAAGACGTCCTCCATGGGGACTCCCTTCTCTTTCAAGAGTTATTAACTGGTCAATGTATTTGTATTCACTTCCTTGAAGAATGTGTATTACGTAAAAGGTGGTTATTCTCACGATGAGGAAGCAGAGCAGGGTTGCACCTAAATGCCAGTGCCTTGGCTTGTGAGCACTTTTCGCGGGTGTAGATCCTCTGCGGTGGTTCATGATATATAAAAAGGTGGGAGTGGGGCTTAAAAAAAAAAAAAAACACACAAAGGGGATGCAAGGCGTGAATTCATGCCAAATGTGTGAACAGGTAAAGTTGTACAAGTGGAGAGAAATGTGTTTTTATATATTTTCCCCATGTTGTCAAGCACAATAAAATAGGGGGTGCACTCTCATGGCACTTGGAATTAGGATTAAGTATTTTTTTTTTTTTTTTTTGCAGTGGTGCGTCGTAGGGGTTATACCGTATGAGGAAAAGAGAACGCACCTCTTTGATGGAGTTTTTTTTTTTTTATTTATTTATTATTTTTTTTTCCTATCACGCTTCGCATAAAAGAGCATTCGTCCAACGGTCATGTAAAAAAAAAAAAAAAAAAAAAAAACGAGTCAAGTGTGACAAGGGCGATAGGCGCCATGTGCTACACGAAATCGAGCCATGTGACTTGTGAAGGTGTGGGAAACTTGTTATGCCATCCAGCGAAGCGCCCGCGGAAGAACCGCTTTGTGCGCGGAGTGACAACACTTTTTATTTCTACACCGCGAGGTTTGAAGTGGCCGCATGTGATCGTGTTGTTCCATGCGATCGTTGTGATCGGAACGAGCACAGCAACGTGTAGCGGGCCGCTCTCTCTCTCGTTGCAGTAACAAGGGGGAGCGTCAGGCTTAGCGATGCAGTTGTCGGGGGAGGTATGACCGTTATATAGTCTATGCCGCCCCGCTTCTCTTCCCGTTATATGTACTCTGCTCCACGGGGACGAGTTTCACATCCGCCTACCCAACACATTCGTATATACATACGTATTTGCATACGTATATATATGTACATACATACATATACATACATATATATAACGTGTTAGAGGAAGTTTTGTTAATTTTTGTGGACGAGTGGGTTTTCCTTTTGTGCTGATCTCTCCCCACCGAGATATGATAAGCGCCAAACGGAACCTGCTGGTGGTTTTTCCGGGGGGTGGTTTCCCTTCATTGGCACGTTCAGCAGGATTGGTGGTGGACGCATTGGGAAGGGGCAGTCATCATGGTGGACGGGGCGGTCAGTGCAATTGTTTGAACGTGGAGAGTAGAGGACCGTCCTGGTTGGTGCCCCGAAGACACTTCGCCATTGGCGTGTTCGAACGGAAGAAGCCTCATATGAATATTGGCACCATTGGACATGTGGACCACGGAAAGACTACCTTAACAGCAGCGATAACAAAAGTGTGTGCAAATTTAAACAGAGGTACATTCAAGTCCTATGAAGAAATCGACAAGACTCCAGAAGAACAAAAGAGAGGAATCACAATAAATGCCACTCATGTAGAATACGAAACAGAAAAAAGACATTACAGTCATATAGATTGCCCAGGACACTTAGATTATGTGAAGAATATGATCACAGGTACTTCACAAATGGATGGGAGTATCTTAGTGGTGTCTGCATACGATGGGTTAATGCCACAGACGAAAGAACATGTACTTCTGTCGAGGCAAATAGGTATTGAAAAAATGATTGTCTATTTGAATAAAATGGACATGTGTGAAGATAAAGAGCTAGTCGATTTAGTTGAATTAGAAATTAGGGAACTGTTATCCTTTCACAAATATGAAGGAGATAATATTCCTTTTATTAAAGGGTCAGCTCTTAAAGCTTTAAATGATGATCAGTCAGAGTATGGAGTTCCTTCCATCTTGAAGCTACTAGATGCTTGTGATAATTATATTCATGAACCCAAGAGGAAAATGGATTTACCATTTCTCATGAGCATTGACGATGTGTTGCAAATCTCGGGCAAAGGGACAGTCGCCACAGGAAGAGTCGAGCAAGGAACTCTAAAACTTAATGATCCTGTGGAAATCCTGGGCATTAAAGAAAAGCCCATTAAAACAGTTGTCACGGGTATTGAAATGTTTAGAAAAACGTTAGATGCAGCTCAAGCTGGGGATCAAATTGGAGTCATGTTGAAAAATGTAAAAAGGAATGACTTGTCTAGGGGGATGGTAATCACCAAGGTGCCTAACCTTAAGACATACAAATCGTTTGAAAGTGATGTTTATGTGTTGAAAAATGAAGAGGGAGGTAGGAAAAATCCATTTGCTTCCTACTACAGACCACAGGCCTACATACGAACGGCAGATGTAAATTGCGCAGTTATTCTGAATGAAGATACGCAGGTCGCAAACCCAGGGGACAACATCAAGTGCACCATTGAGCTCATGTACCCGCTCGCTCTGGCCAACGGGCTTCGCTTTTCCCTGCGCGAGGGCGGCAAGACCGTCGCCTCGGGCATCATCACGAAGGTCATCTAGTGGGGCGGTTAGCGGCAAGTCAAGCGGCGCGTCGACCGTTACGGCTACTTCTTTTCATTTTAGCGGAGGATTCGACCTCCTCATCCATGTAGGCACACAGTTGGGGGGGAGAGCCTTTTTTTTTTAACCATACGTGGCGTGCACTGCTGCATGTGTGAAAGTGAACTCTCTAACGAGGTGGTGAGGGGAAAGACACATGTGTGCGATCCACACCGCTTTCACGTGACCATCACACCGCTGTCAAATGAACAAGCGCGACAGGTCGTGCATGCGATACTTCTCCCCAGTGACGGGGCACTCGAAGAGGTCTTCCGCCTTAACGAACAGGGAGATGGCTTTTTCCGAGAAGACGTGGCCCGCGGGGGTGGTGAAGGGGGGGTTCTTCTCATCCATGACTTCACTAGTGTAGGGACAAACGAGGAAACTTTTTGTCCTCTGTATATTTGGTACCTGCTTAATGGTGTTCCTAAGCTCATTAATGCACGTAGGGCATTTTGTGGACTTGTGTTTGCCCCCACACTGGTCCGTTTTGACCACCGAAATGCCAGCCTTCAGTAGAAGCTCCAGGAGAGGCTTATTCAGGACACCTGTTATTTCTGCATAAACCTGTTGAAAAGATTTTATAACTTTACTCCATCTCTTCCGATTGAATATTTTTAACGCATCTGTGGAATGTCTTTTGTCGTGAGAACCATACAAGCCAATATACGTGACAAGGAATTTCACATCTGTGGAGATCTGCTCATCTGGTTTCGAAACTGATTTTTTTATATATTCAATTGCTTCATAAAATTTATTTTCAGAAATTACACTAATGACAAATTGTAGATGCAGCTCTGCTTCTATATTAGAATCGATTTTTTTTAATTGCGACTTGTATTTTTGACACCACTCTAGTGCTGGCTTGATGTTGTGATTTTTCAGCTCATTTATTATGTCTAGATATTCTTTGTATACATCTGCATCTGAGTAATTTTCCAATTTGTATCTTTTTGAAAATACTTGTACAGTATCAAAGAACCCGTATCTAGATAAGAACCCGTCAACTAGCCAATTAATTCTATTCTCATACATTTCGAAGCGAAAATCATGCTTCAAATTTTCCAACTGAATATCTCCCTCAAAATAAATGTACTTGAGTCGACTAGCCAAACGGTTCACATATTTGTCTAGAAGCATCTTGGATTCTAGTACTTTGCTCCGTAATGATTCCATTTTCTCAATTATCGTATTTAGCTTGTTCAGGTAAACCTCGTCCGTTAAATTGACTAGCTTCTTTTCAATGAACAGCGTGATGATGGTGAAATTTTTCTCCAACTCCTTTTGAATATTTCGAAAAGTGTTCAGGATGCATTTCAACGGGATTTGTATAAAAGATTTATCTATTGCATTTAGGGACAGCTGCTTGGACAATTCGGGTTGTGTTGCTTCAGTCTTTGGGGTTAGGGATGGGGACTCCACCACCGGAGGAGGCTGCCCTGGTAACTCTTGCGTTGGAGGTGGCTGCCGCGCCTGCTGTGCCTGACGTTCCGCCTCCTCGTCGCTCTTCAACATCTGCCTCCTCATTTCCTCCCTCTTACACTTTGCTTGTTCCTGCTTGGGCGCAACTGCGTACACCTCGGCCGCTTCGTTGTAGAGGCTGTCCTCATCCACAGATAGGTAGCTCACGTTGGACCAAGTATCCACGTCACAGGTGCTATCGCCCTCTTCGCAGTTGTCACGATTGAACATGGCGTCCTTGCACAGGGGATCCTTCCCTGTATTGTTTGCTCCCCCCTGATGTGTTACTTCAACCTTATTTCTTGTAGCCGGTTTGTGGCTCTCGCCACTACCACCCTGTGCTTCTGCGGTGCAATTCTCATTGCCCCCATCGCGGACGTCCTTCTGCCCAGCGGTGAGGGTCTTTCCCCCCGCCTCGACTCCCTTCTCTGATTGCGCCAACTGCTCTGACTTGGTCAACTGCTTCATCTGACGCGCCGCACTTAACATCCTAATGGCCCTCGATGCATCATCCACGAGAGCCATATCTTTACCTATTTGCTCCTCCACAATTTTGAGTACATCATCTACGCTTTCCTCCGTACCGGTTACATGACGTTGGTTACTTCCTGGGGGGACCCCACCTCCCTCATCCGGTCGCCTACCTGCCCGTTGTTCAGCAGCCTCTCCTGCCTCCTCCCTGTCCCCTGCAAGGGGGCCATCCACAGGGGGCGTGCTTAACCCCTGATTGGGCTTCTCTTCCATCAGGCTATATCCTCACAAGGGATGTGTACATATTAGAAGAGGTGACTCACCGGAGTTACTCGTGGTGGTGGTGATGAGGTATGTGTGTGCGGGATGGCTTCCACTCAGACGAACAGGGAAGACCGCCCCCTTGTGCCACCTCGTTAGCGATTTAGCTGTCCCCTTTTTTTTTTTTCGGGGCAATCTCCTTTGTGTTTTACAGTCCAGTTGGCGGTTTGCTCAAACGAATGTGGGTTTTCAACTCAAGTCTTTCGTTTTTTGTCATTTGTATTTTTTTTTTTAGAGGAAAAAAAAAAAAAAAAAAAAAAAGCCGCCTCTCTTTTTTTGAGCACAGAGCAATGTAAAGGAGGGGACGGACACACGAACAGTTGGAAAAAAACAAAGGCAAGGCGTGCGAAAAGGGAACTAAGTTGCGCTTACACAGCTTCCATTCCTTCACCATTCGGTGTTATGTGCACTGTGGAAGGGTCAACGACACTCACTTGTGCTGCTTTCTCTGCCCATGGCGATGCCGATTGGTCTGCTCCTTCGCCACACGCGTCAAAAGTTAAACGAGGGAAAGGCTCCCCTGGACTCGTTAACCGTTGCACGGGCAGCACGCAAAAATGCCTTGGCACACACAAAAAAAAAAAAAAAAAAAAAAAGAAGGAAGCCTACCAAGTCACACGAAAACGGAATACCTACAAATGGTATATCTCTTTTTAAAAAAAAAAGAATTCCTTTTATGCATTGTTTTTTTTTTTTTTTTTTTTTTTTTTCCCATTTGTGCGCTTTGGCCAGAC